TAAGTAGCTAATTTCTCCTTCATTGGGATTGCATGTAACTAACTAAACTTCATGTATTGACTTATGCTTCATTTATCTATGCTTTATTCCATTATTTAGTGTTTTGCTCTTCTCTTAGTGCACTTATGATTATTTGTATCTTGGCTTGATGTTTTCAGTTGATTGGTTATTGGAAAATAATTCTTGAGTTGTGTATGAGTTAAGACACCCATTAAATATTGTGTTTAGGGATAATCGTGAGTTCAATAGACATTTTATAAATGTTTTTAATACTTATATTTTAGTCACTTTAACTAAGGGGTTGATGATTTGAATGAAATACATGGTTTCAAGCTTCTAAGGGATTAGGGTTTGAAGATTTTTAGTGTCAATGTTGAGTAATGATATAAATATAGATGAAAACTCTTTATTAAACTAATACATGATGGTGAACTATTGAAGTCCAATCTTAATGGTTTTCTTCATTTGATTATCTTTATATCTTTGTTGCCAAATGTTTGATAAATAGTCTCAAAACAACTTTACGTTTAATTGCATCACTTTATTGCTTGTAAGTTTAATTTATGTAAAGCCAACTTTAAAAAAAAACTAATTTTATTTATTTATTTGAACTTAAGTTAGTGTATCGAGTTAATATTGGCTTATATTGCACAAATTTCTTTGGGAGGCATATTTGATTTTGAAATATTATAATGTAATTTAGTACACTTGCCAATGTATTAACACAACATCAATGCAACATTTTCCACAAAATTAGCATAAATCATCCAATCAAATCACAACTCAATTCCAAGGATCCCAAAAGTCACATCAACACAATAACAACTATTCCAATCAAATTTCAAGTATTCCAAACACATAAAACAAATCACACCAAAGCTTCATGACTTTCACAACCATAACCCGTCCAATAGACATGCCAATACAGAATGTGAAAAGCCTACATAGTTGAGAACCAGCTCCATTACCCATGATTTGATTTACATCCTAAGCAAGATAAGTTAGATAACTCACTCACCTCTTACTTGGAAAGAAGTTTCCTCCAAGGCGAAGTTGCAATAACAACAATCCCCAAACTCCTTGCTCCTAAGATGACTTCACTACAACACTAGAGTTTCAAGAGGCAACACCAATAATAGAGAATTAAGAATAGGACTGAATCAAATACTAATGGGTAACTTTTTTTTAACTCAAGTTCAATTATATTTTGACTAAATCAAACTTTTTTACTCACTTGATAACCTATAATAAATTGACCATTTTGCCCATTTTTTTCCTGTGGGATGCTTAGGTTTGGGTGGGTTTAATTTTATTGGTCACCCTTACAAATAAATATATAGTGAGAAGGTCACCTTGTTGCAAACCTATTGTTGTAAAAAAAATTATGTAGTGTTTTGCAATTCTATATGATAGAAAAAGACAATGAAGTCACCCAATACATTATTAGCTTCACTATAATGAGGAAAACCAAAATCAATCAAACAATCTTTAAGCAACATTCAATAAACATTATCACATACCTTTACTAAGTAAAATTTTAAGGTCACTTTTTTTTCTCCTATTGAATTTGTGCATGCTACAAATGATATCTTCAAGAATTATGACATTATCAAAGGTTCCTTTATCAACAAAAAACTACTTTTGAAGGAACCAATGATGTCAATTAACAAAGATCATAATCTACTTAGCACAACCTTAATAATAAATTTGTAAATTAGATTGCACAAATTGTATGGTTTGAAATCTTTAAAAATACTAAGATTATTTACCTTAGGTATTAGAGTAATTAGTATTGAATAGTTATAAAGGAAAAAAACTCGCAGTAAAGGCATCACAAGTCAACTTCCAAATGCCATCACCAATCAAGTTTTTAATATTGCTCAAAAACCATCAAATTTGAGACTTTGGAGACCTTATACTTAGTTATTGGTTGTATGAGCAACAAGTTCCTTCTTATCCTAAGTAAGAAACTTCTACCACTCTAATTAAATAATTACCCTAAATAGAAAAATAGAAAAAAGATTTAAAATACCTTTTGGTTTTTTCACAAAGAACGACATCATCAGAACACTAAATCATACTTAATAGAGACAATCCATGATTTTTGTTCCCTTTTGTTCTAATTATGATTAGTATATGAAATAAAGATATTTTTATCTCCAAGTTTTACCAATTTCTCCCTTGATTTTTGATACCATAAAAGTTCTTCCTAAAATGTTGTCGGGATGCAAAGATGTTGGATAAGTTGATAATTTAATTAGATAAGGTTGAAGGGGCTATTATCTCTAAAAGTTTTTATATACTTTTTAGATGTGCATTAATGCTCATTTTCTTACAAAATATATCGCCAGAAATCTTTTGATTATGAATAACATAATCTTCCCAAACTTTTCTATATCATTTATAAGTTGACCTTTTTATTCTTCCTACACCTTCTCCATCACATTTTAGTAGTCAAAATGCATTATCCAATCAACCTCAAACAAGATTGGTCTTAGACCTCGAATGCATGGAATTCTTCCATAATAGAGGGGAGTAGAATTGTGATCAAACATAATTGGTAAACAACCTTCACAAAAACTTAAGAAAAATTCATGCATCATTACAAGTTTGTCATTCCTTTATCTAACTTTTTGTCAATAAAATAATTACCTATGTCATTTTTATGCTATGTGACCCCAATGTTTAAATCCACCAAACCATATTGATTTATGACTTGCATTATTAGTGCCTTAACCCTGATTTAAAAGAAAATATTTCCTTTTTGGTCACATAGATAATCTCATTGAAATCTCTCATAAGGATTCAAGGTAATTGTAAAAATGAGCTAATACTATTTAGGTGACTCCAAATATGTGCATGATAAGATGATATTAGATTTGCATATAGACCAATACATGTCCACTACTTCCTCCCACCGCAACATTGATTATAATAAAGAAAGGTGTCCATATCAATAATAAAAACCACAAATTATTCCCCCTTTCCACCCAAGCCTATAGATTGCATGTTCATGTGCTTCCACAACAACAATTAGACTACAACTAAATTCCAAAAATCTCTTGTCCCCCATAAGGAACATAAAATTCCATGATTGTTAAGAACATCGATTTTATTTTTTGTATAATTTCTAGTATATGCCTTTTTGCTCGACCATTCTTTGCTCCCCCAATGTTCTAGGAAACAATAAATGTTTCTTTAAATTCTTTTATGAGAAACTAGTAATAAAAGAAAGACTTACTAATTACTATATTGTGTATAAACCTACTTTTTATTTATTTCATTCTTGACGTCTCTATTGCCTCTTTTTATGAGATATTGACTATCTAATTTTTTCATTGCAAAACTAATGGTGATGATTTATCTATGAAAAATTTATGACTATCTTCTACATGTTCAACATTCATGGTTATTAAAATATCTTAAGTGAGATGTTTGACTTTTGACATGAAATGCAAGTAGTTTGTAATAGGTGCATCATTATGTGAATATAATTTTGAGAGTCATGTGATACTTTTCATGGTTGACATTTACCTTGACATGATTAATTTTTAGGTGAATAAAAACAAGTCCTAAAGTGTGATTACCACACCCTTCAACTTTGGGTAATTGAACCTATTCATTATGTTTATTTTTCCTTAACCATACCATTGTTCTGCTCCCAAATTGGATTGTTTCTTCCTAAAATAATGTTTGCATTGTTTCCTTTAATAGTTGAATCGCTCACATCTTCATTATCGACAAAATCAATTCCATTAAAACGATTATTGACTTTAGCTCCATTTCCTTTTTTTTTACTCCATTCTTGCCAACTAATGCGAGACATTTTTTTTTTCCATGTCACTACTAGCCAATCACCATGCAAAATCCTTTTGATTATTCGTATATGCATTAATTATGGACAAAATTGATTTTTTCATAACTGTCATCACTTCCTTTGCAATTTCATTGTAATTTTGTGTTGTCTTTTTAGGCTAATGGTGGACAACTGTTAGAGTTGTTGTTGTCTTCTTCATTGCACAATTGCGAGTTAAATGGCATCCAAACCTAATGCAAATGATGTGAAATCTTTCATATTCTACCTTATGCCAATACCCATTTAGGTACACTTTACTCACCATTGTATGCGTCAAGTCTATTTCAACAAAAAAATGTGATGAATATTTTCCTCTTTACCTTCAAGGTGTTGTTATCCACCTTTATTGACTTCCTCATTACTAATGTCATGACTAGTAGAAAACTTTCATCATACTGCACTATGTTTAAACTAAGGAATTTGATCCACATTAGGGTACAATTAACCTTCACTATAGAAGAAGCAACATCTACACTTCAAATTGTAATTACTAAGTAGTGATTAAAGATCATTCAAGAACCTTCACACATTATTTTTTCCTCGTTATCCACCATATCTAACTTAACCATATAAAAATCATTATCCACATGCATGGTATCAAAACCCATATAAACGTCATACTTTTTCACTATCCTTCATTATGTTAAAATTCATAATTTTTCTCAAGAGTTCGATCATAAAGCATCGAATCATGGAATTACACAACTCCTTTAAATCTCATTCATCCAAGAATATTTTAACTAACCGTTTACTTACTCCCCATATTTAAATGTAGACCATCTTTTAACTAATAAGAACAACATTCTCTTGTGTATAAATTTTTTACCGATCTTATCTTAAAAAGAAATCTTCTATTTATCTATTTAGTTATTATAATCACTTTAATCAAATAACATTTGAAAACACTTTATCTAATTACAATCTCTTTCTCTTATAACAACCTCATTTTATTAAAATGAAAAACTTGCATCATATTATACGATAAAAGGTCTAAATTCAAATATATAAAATCTCACCATATACCAACGATATCAATAAAAAGGTAGAAAATAAATCAAAATACACATATAAAGAAGAAAACGTGTGATGACTAGATAAAAAAAAAGACACAAAACCTAGTAAGATATTCAGTGGGTATGATTTCTCTTATATTTTAATTTAACTATTTAAGTACTCGCATTCGCAAGCGGTGAGAGAGAGAGAGAGAATCCAATTTGAGGATTTTTGAAACGGGATCGACGCTCGTTGAATTCGTGGTCTCTTCTTTCACTGTCACAGCACACAGAAACCTCTCCTTCGTCGCTTCCCACCGATTCACGGAACCCTAATTTTGGTGTTCCTCTTCCGGGGAGCGAAGATTTAGGGTTGGATTGAGCTGAGGTGGTAGATGCAGCACTGAGGAAATGGAAGGTGGCAGGAGAATCACGGTGAGCCCTCGACCATGCTGCGGCCGGCGAATCGTCGCCGCCAAGAAGAGGCCGCGTGCGGTGGACGGCTTCGTCAACAGCGTCAAGAAGCTACAGCGACGTGAAATCAGTTCGAAGCGGGATCGCGCTTTCACCATGAGCGACGCTCAGGAGAGATTCCGGAATATTCGCTTGCAGGTCCCATTTCTCTCACTTCTTTTCACTTTTCAAAAGTTTGTGTGTGAATGGACAATTTTGTTAGAGATTTTTTACTGCTCGGATCGGACTTAAAACTTGTATGTTGCCTTTACCCTAGCTTTGAAGCTGCAGTTTTTAAACAAAGAATCCAAGTCTTATTTTGTTTGCAACTTGTAAGAGTTCAGCGCCTGCAATTTTTTGATGGATTGAAACATTTTTTCCTTGGACATAGAATGCTGCTGCAGACTGTGTTTATCGGTAAAATTGTGTTTAATTTATGTAATTCTTTTGGTTTGTTCTCTGTTATGTTTGCATTTGGTGATTTGGCTGATGGAAAGGACTAGACCCCTAGTCTGATCCTGCTGCATCCTTGTATTTTCGATACTCCAGCATGAAACAACATTGGATAATTGGAATAGAGTTCAATCTCCCATGGGTGTGGTGTTTTTGTTTGTATCAATGCCCCATGCTTGTGACCTTGTGTGACATTTTAAACTGTTTTTTCTAGTTGTATAATGTAGTGCTTGTTCTATTTTGAATCATTGATTTCAAAGAGTCTTTTGTTCCTCCTATTTTGATAATGAGATGTGACATTTACTGTTTGTATGCCTATTTCCTGCAGTTGTTCTGATATGTCTGATGATTTTATTTGCAGGAAGAATATGATACACATGATCCAAAAGGTCCGTCGTCTATGGTACTGCCATTTCTGAGAAAAAGATCCAAGATTATTGAGATTGTAGCAGCGCGTGATATTGTGTTTGCTCTTGCACAATCTGGCGTTTGTGCAGCATTTAGCCGAGGTAGTATTTGTATTTTGTTTAATTCTATTTGAGACTTTAAAATGTGTATATTGTATTGTATATGTAACGAGTTTCAACTGTTTGATGCAGAGAGTAATAAACGGATATGCTTTTTGAATGTCAGTCCTGATGAAGTTATAAGAAGTCTGTTTTATAACAAAAACAATGACTCACTTATCACAGTTTCTGTATATGCTTCAGACGGTTACAGTTCTTTGAAATGCAGAAGCACAAGGATCGAGTATGTATTGTTCTTTGTTTTTCGTAACTCCTACCTTACACCCAGTAACCCTGGAGAGTAGTGTGCAGTGGTTGGCCCCAGAAACTCTATAGCAGGATATCCTCTATGCTGATTTTTTTATATAGTATCCATTATATAAGTGATATAAAAAAATCCCAAAAATAGCCCCCTCCTAAAAGCCCTGATGTCTCTGCTCATAGGGTTTTTTTGGAATCAACACAGCGCTGCATTGCACCTGCTGTTTATCCTGCTATTTGGTCTATGGCCACTGCACTAAACTGCCCCACTGCAGCATCATTGTAGTGGACAGGGGCCACTCACCGATTGGCCGCTATAGTGCACCATTTAAAACCCTGTTCCCCATGCTCAAAAGTGAAAGTTAGAGAAAACAAATTCGCTCAAGATGTACAGTAACTAAAAGAAAAGCAGTTAGTAGCATTAGTTAGATGTCCAGGTTTGAGTTGTGCTAAGATTTTGTGTTGTTCTCAGATACATAAGGAGGGGTAAACCAGATGCTGGCTTTGCTCTTTTTGAATCCGAATCTCTGAAGTGGCCGGGTTTTGTAGAGTTTGATGATGTAAATGGGAAGGTTTTAACGTACTCAGCTCAAGACAGGTAAATTTTTTACTGTTCTGATACTTTTGTGCAGGGATATAATTATGTAATATATCAATGCTTCTTGACAATCATACTTGTCTTTCTTCTTAATCGTGTAGCATATACAAGGTATTTGACCTGAAAAACTATACCATGCTGTACTCTATTTCGGATAAAAATGTCCAAGAGATTAAGATCAGGTAATTTTTCGTGACATGCCTGTATTTACTTCCATTTTTACAAAACACTTCCATAGATAGGGTGGTCTATGGTCATGCACAAGTTTCTGGGATATATAGTTTTTCTACATTTTATAGTTTCTTTGGGTGGTCCTGCTCTACTGATACACCTTTGCTCTTGTTTGGTGATTTTTGTTTAGTCCGGGAATCATGTTGTTGATATTCTCTAAGGCAAGTAGCCATGTTCCGCTCAAAATCCTTTCAATAGAAGATGGTACCGTCTTGAAGTCTTTCAACCATCTCCTTTATAGGAACAAGAAGGTAGATTTTATTGAACAATTCAATGAAAAGCTACTTGTCAAGCAAGAAAACGAGAACCTTCAAATTCTTGACGTAAGTAATTTTCTCCTTTATATACGATGTGTATACATGATTCTATATCCAGTTATCTGACCTTTGATTAATTCTTTTAGGTGCGGACTTTTGAGCTAACAGAAGTTAGCAGAAGTGAGTTTATGACACCGTCTGCATTTATTTTTCTATATGAGAATCAATTATTCCTGACATTTCGAAATCGCACTGTGGCTGTGTGGAACTTCCGTGGAGAGCTGGTAACTTCCTTTGAGGATCACCTTCTGTGGCATCCTGACTGCAACACAAACAATATATATATAACCAGTGATCAGGATCTTATCATATCCTACTGTAAAGCTGATTCTGATGATTCATTGGCTGAAGGAAATGGTAATTTTTGTATTTTTTTGTCTGTTCACATTGTATTTTTTCCCTTTGTAATGCACCTTGTGGTGGAAGGTACAAAGGGAGATATATATATATATTTTAGTTGTGTAGCCTGATAATCAGACTAGAGTTGATTTAGCTAAATGTTTCACATTTAGGCTTTGATGTGTTAAAATGTCAAGCGTGATAGCAAATCATATTAAATATACAATTTACAATGTGTCTGTGATCAATCTATCTATTTTGCTATGAAGTGCCTATCTTCAAAGGTACTGATGGGCTTTGTTACTTTTATTCAGCAGGTTCCATCAACGTCAGCAACATTTTAACTGGAAAGTGTCTTGCCAAAATAAGAGCAAGCAACAGCTTTCCAGTGGATAGCAATTGCAGTTGCGGTGAGAATTCTTCAGGTGGCGGTTGTTGTAATTCAAGGAAAAGAAAACAAGCCTCCAGGATAAGGAGCACAGTTGCAGAAGCCTTGGAAGATATTACTGCTCTCTTCTATGATGAAGAGCGCAATGAGATCTATACTGGCAATAGGCATGGTTTGGTTCATGTCTGGTCTAACTGATGTATTATTGAATTTTCTCTTGCCCCCTTTTCGCTTCCCCTTCCCCTCCTTTTTTTTCTTATTGACTTTTCTTAGTGGGTACATTGATTGCTCTGATCTGTTATGAGAACTTTCGGGGGATGTAAGCATAAGTGGCTTTGCATCATTCATTTTTCCCCCTTGTCATGTACGCCTTAGGCGAGTTTGTTCAGTAGTTGTAGCAGATGTATGAAGTGATACTATATGCTGGTAACTCACCGGATGTAATCTATATCTTACATTAATGAAGCGGCTTCGATGAAATGTAGCATCTGAATTATGTTAACTCTCATCTCTGCCCATCTTTTTGTTTGTACATCACATGGATTGTAAGGGCCGCGATGCCAAACAAGGGGTAAAGGTCCAAAAGCAATCAATAATCAGTAGAGTGGTAGCTTTACGATTTGCCAACCTTTCCTTCTCAAGTTTCCGGTACTCCAATCAATTTCACTTTTATGTTCTATTCTATCCTACTTTTTCCTATGCCTTCTTTTCTGCCAGCTACCATTTAGTCCTACGGAAAGCTGACACACAAACTTTGTCTTCCACTTTCACTGAGTGGTCGGTTTGTTAGGGACGAAATGAAATGGAATCCACCTTAGTTGTGGACCGGTTTTGTGCCATAGAACCACATTTGATACGAAGTCCAAGTGACATACCAAGGCCAAGGTATATATAATTTACAATTTTTACGGACAGCACCATTCAAATTTTACATCAGAAAATTGAGTTAACTAAATTTGGATCAAGTTATTAGTGAAGGACATGATTGGATCCGTAACCTTAACTACTTGCAATGGTTATAAACTGTTCATGAGTATCTCTGTTTAGTTATTTCACTTTTAAACCGGTATTTAAGCCCAACTCGGTATATATATTTTTTCTTTTGCTAAAATATTTCAGTACACTTTTTTCCCCATTAATCCAAAAAAAGTGTATATATATATATAAATTTACAAGAATCGGTGCTTTTCTCTCTCTCTCTCTCTGAAGAAAAATTGATATGATTCAGATCTTGGATCTGGTCCCTGTGCTACATGCAGTCGTTTATCCATCTAAGCGGATCCTAGACTTGCTTTTATATTTCAAATTTTGTATTACATGTGCGACATGGACATAAACGAAATTTAGGTTATGATTTCTTAATCTAATTGATCTCGTACATTGTTCTCATCTCATTTAACCGAAAGTGCGAGTATATTTAATAGAATAAAAATATGAAAGTGAACCAATGTAAAGTTATATAAAATATAAATAACTTAGTAATAGCTTAAAGTTTCAAAATGCTTATAATGATCCACCGTACAATAAAGTGACTAAATTCGGTATGAATAAATAAATAAAGGGCAAATTATTTACATTCTAAGGTTTAAAAAAAAATCACATACTTATTACTTTTTTTTAACCTACACAAACTTTTCTTAATTTATATAAAAATATAATAAATTTATATAAATTGTAATAAACCTTTCCGGTTAACCATTCTCTCCTATTTTTTTTCTCCTAATTTCTTGTGAAGAGAAGTCAAACTAAAGTCAAAATTACGGTGTATTAAAAAAAAAAAAGTTAACATCAAAATATGGAAGGTAATCAAATGTAATTTCATTAAATCTCCGGGATATAAGTGTAATTTACACAAAAAAATGAATAAATAATCAATTCAATTCATAAAAATGAAATTACTTGACCTAGAATTACCGTGTGTTTCGAAAAACAGTCATGATGTGATAAATCTGGTCTTTGTACCAAACAAACGCATAAGCTATATTTATTAGCTTTAAAGAGAACACGAAAAATTACTTCACCAACTTGCAATTAAACACGCTACGCTACAATTAATAGGGAGAAACAAATCATTCAATTAAATGAATCCGTTTGATATCGATTTGTTAGAATACATGTTACTTGACGAATTAAATATAATTGTTTTAAATCTAATTTTAAAAATTCATGAGACAACACAAATCAAAATCAAGAAGAAATAGAAATGACAAAAACTCGACTTTTTATTGCCCAATAAATTAGCACAGATGTATTAAAATTAGAAAAATAATAGAAAGGCCAAAGCAATTTTACATGTATAATCCCAAAGGGTAATTTAAGAATCATTTCCATAAAAAACTAAATCAAGTTAGGTGATTTTCTTTAAAGCGAATTCGGTGTTTATTGTAGATAAATATGGGAAAAGCTTTCGCTATTTGTCGAGTTGATAGAGCACGTACTTTTTTTTGCTAACATGGAGACGACGAGAGGGACAAGATATATAGACGGATTTGTACCAAAATACAGAGAGACATTTATTTTGTTGAAGTTGAGGGCATGCATGAACATGATGCTGATGCACACACGTAAATTACCGACAATAGACAAGTTATCTTATGAGAGTAGATACAAATTTCAAATTTGACGAGGAACGTGTGTATGTGTGGATCTGGAAACCCAATGCACGCACGCGTGTTGTGCATATGGTTGCGGTGTGAATTGTCGTTTATTCTCTCTTAATTTCTCAACCCAATCTTTGTCACACTTCTAAATAACCCACCCAACCACACATTCCCATCCATCAATGCAACATATAATAGACCCACCAAACTCAAGTACCCGACCCAAATGCAATAACAATTTTTATTTTTTTATAACGATGATGTTATTGTTAATTGTTAATTTAATAATATAAATAAACAATGTAATTAAATCGAAAGAATACCAAAATAAATAAAAGTAATGTTTATTATTTTTCTTTCTCGGAAAGAAAAGTGCGTGAGAGGCACGCGTGACGAAGGAAGCATATTTGTTTGATGGAGTAGCGTGTTGAGCAATAGTTTAGTGTAGTGTAGTGTAGTTGAGTTTTTATTTTACTTGCGCGGACCACAACTCTCTCTCTCACACACACACACACCACTTTCCTCGCTCATCACTCATTGCTCATCTCGCAGATTCAAATTCACGCACACACTCACTCACACTCGTCGCAAAACCTATTTCTCTGTTTGGCTCTGATATAAAAAGCAAAACAACAAAACTCGTTTTCAGATCTCAAACGGTAGTTAGACGAGGCGAGAGGTAAAATGTTGTTCAAATGTTGGAAGGCATTTCGCTTGCGCTATCTTATTGTTCAATTGCTATTGCTCGTTTTTGAAGAATCCAACTTATGTGCTTCACTGCAATTTTCTCTGAGATTTATCTTATCTTTTTGTTTTGTTTTTGATAGAGAGTGCATGTGGCGTGCTAGATCTGACTTCAATGCACGCATATCTAGTTGTTTCGTTTTCTCTCTTGATCTGGATGTTACTTTTTCATCGTAACCGCGCGTCGTTTCATTATTATCTTTCAGAACCTTTTTCTTTTTTTTGTTTTCCTCTGTTTGTTTCTTTGCGTTGTTTATTATTCTATATTCGTTTTCCAGAAATGAGCATTTCTGTGTTTTTTTTTTGTCTATAGTAATGATGTAGAATAGAAGAGTGTTTTCTGATAATCAGAATGTCATATTTGAAAAAAGACATTTCATAAGTTTTTTTTAGCAGTTTTTGTTTACATTGTGTCTTTTCGATCGTTGTTCTATGTTATATTTAATTGTTGCGTAATTTCTGTGTGTTACTATTGCGGATGGTTTAGTTGCATGGATGTGATGGCTGCTGATTAGTTCGCTATCTCTGGTTCCTTTTGTTGAGGGGTGAAAGTTTTGAGTAAATTCAGAGTGAAATTCAGCATTTATTTTGTCTGCTTACTATTTTCCTTTCAGGTTCACTTTCCTTTGGTTTTCATCTAAAGTTTTGGAAATGGAAGATGCGATAGATGCTACTGCATCTTTGGATTATGCTTCAATTCAGGTTTTTCCTAACCAAAACAGGTTAGCTCTGATGTTCCATTTTGTAACAATTTCTCACATGCTTATTTTTAATATTATTTTATATAGTTCTTTGAAAGGATTTCTTATCATCCTTTTCGAAGTTCTTTTCCTCCCTTCTCTTCTCTGTAATAGTTTTTCTATTATATACAGAGGGAAAAAAATCCTTATCATTTTAAAGTAAAAACCCTTCTCAGTAGTTGACTTTAGTTGCAGAATGTGACAATACTGTAACTGAATCAAAAACTTGGAGGCATTTAAGATTTTTGAGGAAATAGTATTAGTCTATATGTATGTTTCTATTGTTGAATATATGCAAAGATGAGTAGAAAACAGAAATGAAGAAACAAAAGGCATCATTTTACTGAAATCGAAAAGGATGATGTTTCTGATGTCCTTCTTTCAAGAATTTCATAATGGAATCTATTCCGTGCCAGAATTCCAAATTGAGTCCTAATCAAAAAATTTAATATCCCAGTGAAAATTCCTTATTTCAGTTCCACCTCTAGCTCCAATCCCATCATTGAAAAGGGTTTTATCATTTTTCACCGAGGCTAAAAAAGACCTATAAAATAAAACATGAATTATTTTTCCTTTCAAATCTTAATAATAGATGATATCATTAATTATCCTGCATCGTTTTTGCCCGATTTTTACTTAAATTTCTAATGTATTTTTTTTTCTTTCTAAAAAATGTTATGAAATTGAAGAATATAATGATGTTATTGTCTTAACACTAGTGTAGTTGTTGTCTGACATATGTCCTTACATCTTAGAAGCAGGATTGTTCTAATATATCATTGACACACCATTGTGTTTATCTAATCTATTAGAGTTATTATGGTTTCCTTTGCTAGGTAGTTCTTCCATCAGTACATTCAATTGTACAGAGAGTAGTTTATGCTGAATCTGTTCCTCATGTGAATGTTATATGTTTTGTTTTTCCTGCTTATTTACATATTTCTCTCCACGGTGGTGGGATAGGTATGAGGCATTTGTCTGTAAAGGGAAACAATTCGATAAAGTGGCAGCTGGAGATTTGGAACATTTGTTGCCTCATTTACCTGCAATAAATGATTTGTATGCTGAAGGGTTTGATGCAAACTTTGATCTTAAGTTACCAGAAAATCTGCATGGTGCTGAATGGTTTTCAAAAGCAACCGTTAAGAGGTTTCTATCAAATAATGGTTCATTTAATTTTCCTTTGTGAATTGTGTATATTTATAGGAAATCCTTACTAGCTCTAATATTATTTTTCCTTAGGTTCCTTCATGTTGTTAGTTCACCGGATTTGATAAATGCCATCAGTGGTATCCTGGATGAGATGTCTCAGTTGGAGGATTCAAAGAAATTTCATGTTTCTTTATATGGGAAGGTGATACTCTGTCTTTCAATAAATCAATACTGGTATTGTATGTGTGTAGTTTCTGATTAATAGTTGTCTTTTAAAATCAGGGCCCTCAGGATCATCTTGAAAGTGGGGAAAGAGGTAATTTTCACTAAATTCTATATAGTTTGGTTCTTGATTCTTGTCTGCTACCACCAACCAATAGGATATTTTCATTTTCTCTATATTGCAATCAAAGACACCTTACAGGGTCTGGCTTCTGGGTAAATAATAGATGACATAGAAGCTTTGACATCCTAATACCCATTCTTAAAATGTGGGTTTGAACTTAATTTAATTATACAAAATCGGCTTTAAAGGTGAGGGTTTTTCCCAATATACCCCTTCATGTCCAACACTATTGAGTTTGGTACGTAGATAAATGATGAGTGATCATTTTTAATGATCTAGACAAAACTTAGGTTTTTCTCAATATCCATGAAGGCTGAAAACAAGAGTGTAGCGAGATAGATGGCCTTGGTTTAAGACATCATATAATTGAATTTGCCCGCCATGACTATCTGTAGCTGTGATGGAATTAATTTTATGGATTTACTAAATAAGGCATTTGCTATATCTTAGTCCTGCGAGGTATTTTGGTTATTTATACCAACATGGAAGCTCAGATAATGTTTTGTCTTTCTTTCAATTCAAAGGATCTAGTGGCTGCTTTTCCTTGAATGCTTGGTCTTTTCCTTTTAATGACTTTTTCCTCATTATATAACCGAGAATATTTTGTAAGGACTGAATCACAAGCCATAGATGACTGTTATGTTCATGCTTTTAAAAAAATAATATATATATATATATATATATATATATATATATATATATCCCAATAACAAACGGGATTATCCATTGCCCAGTTTTAACTTTTTTGATGTCATGCCAAGCAATTTCTAGTTGTATATAGTCGTAGTCACTTCAATCTCTGATATTTGTTGTTAGCATGGGTTTCTTATGGGTAGATGACTGTCATTGTTCTGGAGCATATGACAAGTAAATCATTAGTCAAATTGATTTTGATATTCTCTCTCTCATAGGATGAAATCACTCCGGTGACACTACTTAAGGCTTTAGAAGAAATATTATTGTTTATTAAAGAGAAGAAGGAAAGAGTATAAAATTAAGAGGACAAGATATACTTTTTGATGAAGACAAAAAAAAAAGGGACAGACAAGCATATTAAAACAATAAAGTTCTCCAATCCCATTGCAGATTCTGAATCAAACACGTCAAACAAACTACTCCATATGATATTGTAGATTATATGGAAGAGTTGGTGACTGGGTATCTGTTAGGTTTCTAATATCTTTTATATAATACTGATTATTATTTTTTGTGTGTCATGAAAAGCTTTCTTTACTTTTATTTAAGATACCATTGATCTCTATAGTTTCTGTTGATTTTAATTTGCACTTCTGACAGATGGTAACTATAGCTCTCATGTTGAAGCACCAACCTCCAAAGTAATTCCTTTTCTCCAATGCTTTAGAGTGGGTTCATTTTGCAAATTCATTCACACTATTACCAATAAAGCAACTTACTCTTTATCTAGTTTTTATTTGATTGTTATATATACACTAACAATTTATTGCATTTTTACAGCCTGAAGTTAACATCTTGTCATCCGATGCTTCAAAGTATGTTCTTGTGATTGTTACATTACTTTTAGCAGATATAGATTGGCTGCACGCACTATTAAGCTTTCTGAAAATATACTGCCAGGAATGAATTGTTACGAGCAATGGATCTAAGACTAACAGCTTTGGGCGACAAGTTAGCTGAAACTTTTAACAAGGCCACTGGTGTTACATGCTCCCATGAAGATCTGGCTTATTTGGCCAAATTTTCTCGACATTTTGGTGCCACTAATATAGAGTAAGTTTCAGAAAGATTTATATAATTATGTTATTGGCCTGAAGAATGTATGATTGCAAGTTCTATATTGCACTTATATATCTTTTCAAACATTGCTAAGCTAGCTGTTAAGCATGTTTTCTATGGACTGTGTTCATGATCTCAGGCATTCTTTATGCAAGTTTATAGAACTAAACCAAAAGAGCCCGGATGTTGGTCCCCTGAGCAATGAAACAACTTTGCACTCATGTGATGTGGCAAAAGATGATACAATCAAGGCTGTCAAAAGCCTTCAGATTTCCAAACCATTACATTCAGATGCACCGGTTAAGTATGGTGTTTCACCAGCTAAAGTTGCCCAAATTGAGAGACGCAGTTCCACAGAAAGCGAGGAATCTTCCAACTCTAGTGATGAGGATCAAACATCTGCTGAGAGAAGCCGTTCTCTGGTAAGATCTGCAACACCCAGAAGGTCAGCATCCCCAATGCGGAGAGTTCAAATAGGAAGAGCTGGACCCCGCAGAGCTGCTGCATTAACTATCAAGAGCCTCAACTATTTTCCTGGCAGAGAGAGGCCAATATCATTTAGAGATGCTGCTGAAAATGACTTTGAAGGGGAATTATCTGAACAACCCAATAAGAAGTCAGAAATTGATGTAAGGAGGATAACTGTACAAGATGCCATCAGTCTTTTTGAAAGCAAGCAGCGGGATCAAACTGCAGATATTCAAAAGAGGAAGTCATTAGCAGATGTTTCTGTTGGTACAAATAAATCTGTCTTGAGAAGATGGAGTGCTGGTATGGGGGAAACCTCTGTTCAAGACCAGCCAGAACTCATTCCTGAAGTTTCTGTTCCAGTTACTTCTAATGATTTTTTACATCCTGAGATTCCTAAAAATTCAGAATTAGATGTGGTGTCTGATTTTATTACCGAAAGTCACAACAATAACGAGACCACTGATCATGATGTAAAACCAGAAAGACAGGAAAATGTAGGTTCATACACTGTAGATAATCCAGATGAAACCAACCAAACAGTAAAAGAGGAAAGTATCAAAAAGTTAGCAGCATCAGCAGAGTGGAATCAACGAAAGCAAGAAGAGTTCAACCAAATTCTTAAAAAAATGGTTGAAAGCAAGCCTGTTTTATTTGGGAAGGCCCAGCCAAGCAAAAACCAGAATATTTCATTTGAGCAGAGAGGAGGTTCTTATGATAATTATAAGGAAAAACGGGATGCAAAACTTCGAGGAGCAAAGGCCGGAAAACAAATAGAAAAAGAAGCACAATTTCGACAAATGCAGCAACTACTCGATAAGAGGAAGGTTGAAATGTCCAAAAGTGTGAGTGCAAGTAAGAAGAGTTCTACAAGGTTGCCCCAAAATTCTCTTAGAAATTCAACTCAGCCTGCAAATTCCCCAAAGGAAACCACCAAACCTTCAGCTACAAAAAGGATATCATCTAGAACGTCACCCATGCCTGCTACACGTAAGTCTTGGTCAGCAACACCTTCGCCAAGGGCTGCTGGGACATCCCCTGCCAAAGCTCGTGCTGGAGTTTCATCAGCTAACAGCACCCCAACACGACGGAAGCCAGTGTCAACAACATCTGTTCCGCAACCAAGCACCCAAAGGGAAAAATCTCAGCCCCGAAACAGAAATGAGAAAGAAACTCAGACCAATAATGCCAGGAGCCTCAAAAGCATGAATGAGAAGCGGCAGCCAGCTGTCCCAAATAAGAGCAAGGCAATCAAAGCCAAAGTGATGACAGCCTCTGAAGAAGCCTCTGTTCCTAAAAAGACTAGCTTAGGTAACAAGGGAACCAAGAAAAGCAGTGTGGTCCCATTGGAATCAAAACCATTTCTACGTAAGGGTTCTCGGACAGGGCATGGAACTGCTGATCTTAACAAGAAAAAAGGTCCTCCTAAGATGGACAAATCTCAAAGAGACAGTGAAGATCTTATTGTAGATCCAGAAAGTGAGTTGGTTGTCAATAATGCTTCAGACTTGGTCAGTCAGCATTCAGATGGGGACGCAATGACCCCTAATCATCAGAATGCTGCCACAGTACCAGACCCTCAGATAAATAACCAATTGCAATGTGATGAGACAGAAAACTTGGACCAAAATCCTACTGATGGTAATGTCTTTACATACACAGAAGAGTCTTCCTTAAATATAACGAATGAAGAAGAATCAACCATATCACCTTCTGCCTGGGTGGAGACAGAAGAGGATCTGGAATTGCCCAAGCCATGTGAGGATGACACATTTCAATCTGCATCTCTGGCCAATGCTGCCCCAGTGGGATCAACTAGTCCTCGGGTTCGTCATTCTCTGTCACAGATGCTTCAAGAAGAAAGTAGTGAACCTGACACTGGCGAGTGGGGAAATGCCGAGAATCCTCCTGCCATGATATACCAAAAGGATGCACCCAAAGGCTTCAAAAGACTCTTGAAATTTGCTCGAAAGAGCAAGGGCGATACAAGTTCCACAGGCTGGTCTAGCCCATCCGTGTTTTCCGAAGGAGAGGATGATGCAGAGGAATTTAAAAATTCTAATAAAAGGAATGCCGATAATCTACTAAGAAAGGCTGCACTCAATGTGAAAAGCTATGGACAAGCGAAAAATTCAGTACATGACGGATATGATAGAAATTTAGGTACTAGTAAACTTGTCTATAGAACACTTACCATTTGCTTTGCTCTTCTCTCATGTTACCTTTCTGTTTTATTTTATTTTCCTGATCTCTTAGTCGGCTTTGCTTTTCCGATTCTTATATAGATTATTTCCATGCAGCAGGCAGAGATGATGGGAAGGGTTCTCACAAGATGCAAGAGGGACGTGATTCAGGAGCTGGTTCAACCACAAGAGGTAAGTTTTCACTGGAGACCAAGACTAGTAAAAATGATTATAGCATGGCATTGTAAATTTTCCTTTTCCACTGTTGCTGATCCTTATTAATTCCTTCCTGTTTCCTTTTGCATGTTGATGTTCCAGCATCAAGGTCATTCTTTTCTCTTTCAGCTTTTAGGGGAAGCAAGCCCTCCGAGTCCAAGTTTCATTAATGCCATGGGAAATAATTTCTGTGCGTTGATGTTATAAATTATATCGCCAAGTGGGGTTTGTTGGAATGTTGTAAATTCATTAAATCGTGTCGCTATTTCAATACATTACCCGAAAATTATAATTCATATTATCCGGCCTTCCCTTGCAAATTTTCCTATAGCTGGATTCTTTGTTTTAACGTTGTCCCGGACGTTCATTTCATGGTACGGTGCTGTCACTTCCAAATATTGATCATTGTATTTGTAGATAACTGGATTGTAGTTTTCCCTCTGAATTCATAGCTTTTATCCATGACCCTTGACAGGGTAGTCACGAAGAGACTTGTCATTTTACATTATGACGAATGCTTCAATATACAAAAACAGTACTGAATTTTGTTTTTATAAAATCTAATGGGTCAAAATTATATTTAAACGAATAATTAAAATATATGGGACTAATCATGTAGTCTTCAAGTAACATTTAATCTTGATCTATAAAGTATGAGTGAGGCGCTTAACTTTTGAAATAAGTCACCCACGTTTACTCCATTCATAAAATTGCCCCCTTCATATTTTTGGATAATGTTTTTCCTTTTGGATAATATGTAGGAAGTTTACGGGGATGAAACATTAATAAAGGTGTAAAAATAGATTATACGAATTTGATAAATCTCTACATGCACACATCCCCAACACATAATCTGGGCACAATAAATCTTATGCTCTTTCATTTTTGATTCGAAAGTATGAGAGAGGAAAGGGGTAAGAGAAGTAAATTTACCATTATATACTTAGAAAATTAAATAAAATCATGAAGATAATTTAATCCAATTAATATAAAAATAATTCGCTCACTCAAATTAGCCACAAATGAGTAGATATATTTTCACCTTCTCGTGGCCTCCGACCAAATACTAAATCTGCAGATTATCGGATACTCCATTGTGTTCTAGTGGGTGAATCTGCAGATTATAGGGTACTACCTCAGTCAGCAATTCAGGTTAAAGTGAGTGACTCGCTAAGCAGCTTTGCTTAAACATCCCCTTTCAAACAGAATATTTTCTTCAATGTCACTCCCTTCAAAGGTGACATACCCATTGCCTGCACCGCGTTTTAAGATGAACACAAAATGGAACAAAATAACAAATGTATTAGGAAATTAAAAAAAAAAAGTAATAATAAAGAGAAACTCAACAATCAGTCCCAAGAAAAATGAAAATAATTGGAGGTAAGCCGATCAGAGACTTGAGTCCCTTGAGATCAAACTCCACACGGGTTCATTCTACACCTCGCTCTCGATCTGTATAATGATGAAAATAATGCACTCAAATTTCTTCAAAGGACTTTCATAGGCTTGGTAAGTAACCAAATCTCAATTGATGTACCCTTAATAGGCATGCAAGAATCAAGTATTTTCTATGGGTTAATGGATCAGAGGAACAATTTCAGGCAGGGAAGAAAAGAAAAAATCAAGAGGCAACAAATATTGAATATCAATTCAACAGTCCTTCAACGAGAATCACCCAATAATCAAATTCCTTACTGCACCAATTCCCAATTCTTTTAACCTCTGCCATTGATCAATCTATCATAGTCATTTTCTTTACCAGCTTTACTTTCCTTCTATTTTTCCCCCTCATTTTTTCTTCGTTTTCTAGGATAGTTTCAGAACTATTGCCATCCCACTTGTTTTCTATTCCCAGATTATCTGAATAGCATAAGGTTTGGAATCTGTTGTTCAATTAATCCCTGTGGCTTAACGGGTGACAAGTATACTTGTATTAAGTGCAATTTACAAGCATCATATAACTAACGTATCTTTCACTTATCTAAGTCTATCAAGAAAGAGAATGTGAAAAAATCCTGCTAGCCTCTCCATCAGTGCTAAGCTGCACAATTTGTCAAGAATCCATTCCTACAGTTTTTCTCCATAATCTCAACCCCTATAGCATCTCAACCGTAAAGCTTTGCACCATATGCTTTAAAAATCAGCACATTAAATATAATCATCAAAATTACACGATCTCCTACATTTACTGTTCCCCACTTCATGAAACTAAATTAATAAAAATTCTAGGTTCGGTGTTAGTACTAGCAGGTATAACTGACCGCAAATTAACAACTTTCTTTGGGAACCAAAGCTATAACATGAAAAGTAATTATTGATACTCCTTGTAACTAATTGAGGTTTCATCAACTGATATCTCAAGACAATGTTTCAAATATATCTCCTCCCCTTTAAATTTTTTATTAATCTATATCAATAAGAACACATGTACTTAAAGAGAGAGCAGTTAGAGAACACACCTGACTGACATTAGTTCAAAGCCTCATTCTTATTTTATGAACAAAACATCTCGACTATCAAATAGCTTGGATGAGATTTGAGTAACCTTTCTCGAGTATATCTTTCATATCAAATGACCCGTCATTTAAGCCGAGATTGACAATTATACTCACATTTTATAGCTCACTTTGTTGGAAAAACATTTTATTGGAGAGACTTCAGTGAAAATTGTTCAATTTCTCTCCTCTAAGGTATTGAAGATAAGGGAAGACCAAGTCTGCATGAAGTCCATAATATCGTGAGAAGATATCATCTATTTGATTTATGCTGTCCACAGCAGTATCATCATCCAAGGAAAGTTGGATAGAAGAAAGCTTCACAAGTTCATAAGCAATAACAATATCATCAGTATCATATAGCTTCTTCAGAATCTGCAACAGAACAAAATACTTATTAGTTCCCATTGTAATGTTTTTCAAAGTTCATACAGTTAAGGGAAGTTAGTGTATGGGTAGAAAAGTGGGGGGTATATGTGTAATCTCACGAAACTTCAAGTGATATATATGTAATTTACTCTAAAAATTTTACCTGGACAGATGCTTTACAGTGCTCCATAGATAATTGTAATTCTCCTGCAAAACATAAAGCTTGGGCAATGTTGTCTTCTGCCTGCAGCAGCATATCATGTTCAGGGAAATGGAAGTCGTTATATAAAAAACATAACAATTGTTTGTCTATCAGTCTATGCTCTTCAATAGTTACACGAGTTTCACCAATCCAATTATTGAGAGAGATTGGGAGCTGGGTATTCCCAAGCATGTGAATAGTAATATTATCTTCATAATCATTCGAACCTAGTTTGAGATCAATCAAACATTCCTATAGTTGATATTTACATTTACTCTGAAAAGCAGATTATATATTAAACAAAAATGATGCTTGAGTTGGGGGATGAGAAAGATAGAAAGAAAGAAAAAGTAATAGATGTAAGGGAAAAGGAAAAAAGAGATAGAGCTGTAAGATGGGAGTAAAAAATGGCATTTGAAAAATCAGGGTTGTATTTAAAATGGAGTAATTATTTGAAATATTAATTTGTTTTTAAAACTTTTATATGCTTGATGTATCTCATGATTACTTTAATTTCAGATTGGTTAGATTCAATGCTTACGAAGTTATTGAACAGTATGGGTATTCCAAGACTACCCCCCAAAACACACCTATTAGCAGAAACATAAAAACTATAATTAGAATGGAGGAGTTTTAAAGTGCAGGAGGCTTAAACTCACCTCTGCAATAAGCTTGTTGTATGCATGCAAATTTAATCTCAGCAGATGAAGAGATCTCAAAGCATCAGAAATAGCAATACTTGAAATTTCTTTTAACAATATTGCATCCTGCAACCTGTCATTTCCATATTTGTAAAGTGCTCAAAATTAAGCAGTCATCTATTATTTAAAATTGGAGGATTTATCAAGTTAGCTCCAAATTGGGAACTATTCAAGAATAGCTGTGAATCCGGTGATTCTTTTATTTTATTATTTTTTTTGAATCCTGTGATTATATTCAGAGTAAAAGGAAAGTTGAACTTCATGATGAGATTAGGGCCGAATTGAACAGTGCATACCTTTTCATGCATACTAAAGCTTTATCAACTGCAGCATGTGAAGCCTCCAAATCACAGTAAGAACCACATTTCAAACAGTATCCAGGTCGAATATGAACAGAGGCACCATTTTGTTTGAAGACATGAAGACCTACTTCATAAATGTCATCATTCTTGTCAACCTGAAAGAGCGAAGGGTTTTTAAATGGGAAAAAAAAATCCCTGATAGAGAGAAAACATTGTTGATAGTGTCATAAGTGTATTACATCTCTATTTGATACTCTTGAGATTTTTTCTGTAAATAAGCGTGATTGCATAGTTAATCTGTTTTCTTTTGTTTAGCCTATTTTAGATAGTTTCTTTTTCTTGTATATTCTTTCACTACTTTAGGAATTAACCTCAGATAGTCTTTCCCTATTTTAGGATGACCAATTTACTTATTAGTCAATTACTTCATGTAATTTCCTATATAAAAAGAGGAATCCCTGTACAGTTAATCAATCAATAATATTCCCCTTATTTCAACTTACATGCATCATTACTATTCAAGTTTCCCAACCCTTGAGCAACTTATGTGACAGCAGGAAAATGCTAAGTCGCTCAATAAAAGTGATTTGATAAAAAAATAGTAATTGGCAGAATTGCCAATTCATAATATTATCTAGTAAACAGCATCATAAATATGGATAAATCAGAAAACCCAATTACTCCAAAATTTAACTACATTTAATTCATGGTTAGGTAGACACTTTCAGAACCCTGCCAAGAATAGAAGTCAGAAGTAAGACACTGCTTAATATTCAAATACAAAAAAGAATTACTGTGACACATGAATTATTTGCTTATGTTGTAGCACATGATTTATTCAGATTTTTTTCTCTTATTTTTACATTCCCTCTATTATGTACAGATTTGTAGCCTAATAATACTAGGTCAGCGTTTAATATTAGGTCTATATTTGTAGTATTTAGTTGCTGTATGGATCATCAGAAATACTATTCAGTTTTTCCATATTTCAAGTATTATGTTATACATCTCAATCACTATAATGGTTTCAGTATTGTTAAGGTGATTAAAAGAAAATCAAAACAAAACCACACAATTTAAACTTTACCTACATTTATAAAGCAAGAACAATAGTAATTCAGTATCTACAATTGCTAGAATGTCCCTCTAATTGGCTTATGTTACAGATATTGTGAATATATTACAGATATTGTGGATACATATATTATAGTTATTATCTTCACTATCAATTAGGGATATGATTAGATTAGTTTCCATAATATTAGAGATTAGTATCTCTATCATTTATTGTATTTACTCTATAAATAAGATTGGTATGTGTACAACAATACACACAATTCCTGAATCACAACATGGTATCTAGATCTTAGGTTCTTTTCTTTTAGAATATATTTTTTCTCTCTTCTTGCAAAGGCCCTCGCTGCCACCTCCAGCC